AAATAAATAAAAATTTAAAAAAACGTAAAAAAAAAAAGAATTGTTTCTATACACTTGAAAGTATGATACAGCATACTGGAACATGTCAAGACTATAAATTAGGAGACCTCAGGAACAGCCTCAAATTAGTGTCAGTCTAACTGTGCAATCTTGGGCAAATCACTAATGTCTCCGGATCTCAGTGTCCTCGCCTCCAAAAAAGGTAACTTGGACAAGATCAGTAGTTTTCAAAGTGCAATGTGCATATCATCAGTGGCACAAGATACAATCTTAGGTGGCTCACAAATGGATAGGGGTTATTTTGACAGATATGCAATTTTAAAACATGTATTAGCACATGAAACCCATGATATCATAACTGTTACTGTTTTTGTTGAAAATTTTTTAAGTTAAAGAAAAATATGGCCAGGCACGGTGGCTCACGCCTGTAATCCCAGCACTTTGGGAGGCCGAGACGGGTGGATCACAAGGTCAGAAGATAGAGACCATCCTGGCTAACACGGTGAAACCCCGTCTCTACTAAAAATGCAAAAAATTAGCTGGGCGTGGTGGCGGGCACCTGTAGTCCCAGCTACTCGGGAGGCTGAGGCAGAACAATGGCGTGAACCCGGGAGGCGGAGCTTGTAGTGAGCTGAGATCGCACCACTGCACTCCAGCCTGGGCGACAGAGCAAAGACTCCGTCTCAAAAAAAAAAAAAAAAAAAAAAAAATTAAGTAAATAGACGTGCTGAAAGGATATGACAAAAATGGAAAGTTTGCTGCTCATTAAATCGTTTTAATATCCAAGACTCTTTCCAGCTCAGTTATTCTATAGTATATCAGATAGCAAAGAAAATTTTAAGAATGAACTAGGATCAGCAATATGCAGTTATGGTAGAAGCTGTACCCCCAAAATCAGAGTGCTGGACTTCAGAAGAATATCTTTAACTTCATTAAGTCCTTGATTCTCTTTTTTGACCACAGCGTTTGCCTGCTACCGAAATCTCTAGGGCAGGAGCATGGTGACTTCTACGTCACCATCTAACCTACCCCATGCAGCATTCTCCATCGACAGCCCTGCCCCTTGTCCCTGTCTCTCTGGTGACACATAACAAAGGCCATCAAGCTCCCAAATCTTCAACTCCATCCTCTCCAAGAAGGACCCCAAAAGCATTTGTGTCCCAGCAACTGTGAACTTTTCCAGGTTGCCAGACAGAAATTTATCTAATGCTGGTCAAGACCCACCTGGTTGAATACTAGAAAAAACAATCCCTGTTCACAATTTATTGCTATATCTACTT